CATAGGACCATAAAGAGACAGACAATTCCCCAGCAGTCATGGTTATTAATAAGCTCAATAATATTTATGTCACGAGAGATAAAATACTAGTGAGGAGATAGGTTATCATTACACAGTGTTTGTCAGAGACGATCAAATTTAATTTGGCTGGGAAGGGTATGCAAGTTGTTGGGTTTTGTCTATTTTCTTGATCCCAATACAAAAAAAGAATCATACAAGAAATTTGGTACACAGACGGACAATACGTATCAATAGATTTTGTTCCAGTCTGTGCATGTTAGTTATTTGATAAAAAGGAATTTGGAAATAGCAGTTTTAAATTGTATTATTACGTACAACAATGAATATGTGCAATTTGTTGACACTATAAACTAACAGATTAGTTATAAAAAGTGTCTAGAATAACAGCAGTCTAAGTGTATAGGGCCTAATGTAGTTTTCAATTGTAGCCACCATTTTGCCTCATCTCAAAGTACATCTCCTCTGACAAAATTTGTCAACCAATTAAAGCATGTCTACTAGAAAGCAGTCAGTGACACGATTTCTGATTGGTAGACTTGACTGCTCACTGCATTGTGAGGAACATAGCATAGATATCACAGTAAATGCTTTGTTCACAACATTTATATTTGCTACATTTATACTTTACAAAATAGGTGCTATTTCAGAAGGTACCATGGCTGATATATCTTTCAATAATACTGTTATAACAACTACTGAATTTGATATACCTGGTACCGTATTTCTGTATTAGAAGTCAAGCTACAATATAAGCACATGTAAACTGACAGTATTGTACATATTGAGTTATTTAAAATACAACTTATTTTGACCACTGACACATTTATGTCAATGCAGACACATGTGCTACTAATAGAGCAGATTACAGTAGCATTTTGACAATTGAAATGTGTGAGGTGCCAGGTTGAAAATCTTGTCAAATTTGTTCTGTCCAATTGACCTTAGATGGCAATGACATCCAAGATTTTGTTGAGTCACATGACTTGTATTTGCCTCTCAAATAGTATTGTTTTCTCTCGTCATGGCAACACTTGTTACAAATATCATGGATAGATCAGGGGACGTAATGGCAAAAGAAAATTGAACACTATTTGAGGCAAAAAAAAAAACAGCCTTTGTGCTCCTCTCCCCCTCAACTTGGTCTTGGTGGCCATGAAAGTCTAAAAAACAGCCTTTGTGCTCCTCTCCCCCTCAACTTGGTCTTGGTGGCCATGAAGGTCTAAAAAACAGCCTTTGTGCTCCTCTCCCCCTCAACTTGGTCTTGGTGGCCATGAAGGTCTAAAAAACAGCCTTTGTGCTCCTCTCCCCCTCAACTTGGTCTTGGTGGCCATGAAGGTCTAAAAAACAGCCTTTGTGCTCCTCTCCCCCTCAACTTGGTCTTGGTGGCCATGAAGGTCTAAAAAACAGCCTTTGTGCTCTTCTCCCCCTCAACTTGGTCTTGGTGGCCATGAAGGTCTAATGTGAAACTGAAATGAGCATGGTAACAAATACACAAGGACACTGGAAAAACTGTAACCTTGTCTCTTTATCTTGCGTCTATATTTCTACATACGTGTGCAAGATTTTCATCACATATCTCTCTCATTGCAATCCCCTGTATCTTATCAACTCTTGTCTGCTCAATAATGAAATTTTTTTTTATCTCAAAATGGACATATTTGATACATTATAATTATTGTATTTTTATTTCTGATAAGATTAGTCTTTGGACCTTTTTATGAAATATTTGATAGTTTAAATTTGCATGCATTGTGGGAAAAGAATGAAGATTCACCAGAATTTTGCTTTGTGAAGCGAATCCTTGTGAATTCATGCGCATTTGAAAACTATTCCAAAACTTTAGCAAATGAAATTTGAAATGATCGCATTTGAACGTTTATTATACATTACCCACAAATTCAGCACATCAAACAAGTCGATAAATTCCTTTGGAGTGCAACCTAAAAATGGGTACCCCCCGAAAATGTCTAGCTGTGAATATTGTTAACTGCTTTAATTTTATAAGTGAACAATGTTCATGATTCAATGAAAATCATTAAATTTGCAAACCTTGTTTTCACGAATGCCGTAAAATCATCAAATTGCAGGAATTGCTAGCTGTGAAGATTGAGCGGTTTACAGTATACACAATAAAGTAAAAAAATCAGTTATTTTGATTCTAGTTTTATGCGCATTCCATGTAATAGACGCTATAGTAGGAGGAATATAGCAAAGACGTCCTTCCTGAAAAATGAAATGTTTTCAGTCATAGAGTTGATTGCAAGTCATGAAATGTTGCAACATAAAGTAGGCAGGCCTACTTCTACCAATCGGATCATTCCATAATACACACATGGCTTTATAACAGTATAAGACATGACAAAGAAGTTCTGGAACTTCTCAAATAAGTATGTTATAAAATGTAATATATTCTTAAATTTCATATACCTTGTGCTAATTTTTATACACTGCTGTGTATGTGTGTGTGTAGATTAGATTTGACGATATTACCGATAAATGGTATTAAGTGCAATGTGCATGCTGCCATTCTGTTATGTGTTTATCTATTTATTGGAAAATATAATTTGTAATATTAAGTAATATTATATATTTTAACAGTTTCTGTTTTATAAGCATAGACTGGTAGTCTTCACTGCAAACCCACTTAGCAATACCTGAGCCTCAGTAGGAATACATTTTTGGTTGAGAAAAATGGCACAATAATCATGGAGTGTTTGATATTTACGCGTTTAAAATATGCTTTCATTTGAAAGCATACTGCATAGCAACTGTTAACTCATGAAACCACACAAACTCATACCGACTGAATCTCAAACTCACTTTTGTCATTTCATTCCCCAAAATTGCTTTGTGAAACTTTAAAAATAATGTCTCTTCAATGTTTGATACATTATGCTACCAATAAAAGTTTTGTCATAGAATTTTTTTTCTAAGTTATTTTGTATGTGTGCATAATATAATTTCACATTAACATAATACACATACCAGAATAATTTTTTAGCTGTGCTGTCATCGTAGATGACAGAGGGGAGATGTTTCATATAAGCGATTGTCCAATTGCATTTTTGAGACTTCTTGAATACTACGAGCTCAATGACTTTTATACTTGGTATATTGGTACCTCTGTTCATTCTGTGACAAATCTTCCATTTTGTTTTTGACAAATATTTTTGTCATTTCGGGTAAAAAAATGCTATTGTCGACTTGGTATCAAATTGAGCTGGCAGTTTTCAAGAAGTCTCATGGGTGTGCTTTGCTCGAATTGGCTACAACAATGTACTTGTACAGCGGAGCTATTTCAACAGTCAGGTCGCTTATTTGTTTACATGTGTTGCTTGCTGAAGTTCTAAGCTTTACTGTGATTGATCAACTCGAGTACTCATTGTGTGAACACCAACAGAGCATTTTCGATAAAGGAAAAACAGACTGTTTGTTACAGTACCTACTTCATTACAGTGAAAGTGGTTATACAACATATAGGTTTTGAACATTAACAGACAAAGCTCCAATGTAGAAGTGTTTGTGATATAAACATCTTGAACGATAATAGACTAAGCTCCAGAATAAAAATGGTGTGAAATAGGTTGTTGACCAGTAAGCACAAAAAAGTAGCCTGCTACCAACGGTGTTTGAATTGGACAAAATCATCTATGAACAGGTTGTGCATGTATATTAAGATATATCGTAGTTGTCATTCAAAATGGATGCCAGTTTATAGCCATATTTGATTGGATTAAAATGCAAATACCGAAGTGTCTGTACCAAGTTTTACCCCAACAAGTACTTCTCGTTAATAACGTACATTGTACAAAATAGAATAATGCCATAAAACATTAAATAAAAACATTGTTTTAATAATTACCGTTAAGTTCTACATATTCTTGTAAGATACTGAGGTCACATGACCAAAATACTGATATTATGAGATAATGGACATCAATTAAAAACTGATGTCTCCACGAAGAGATTAAAATATACTTCGGCTTTATTTTGTCTTATTATGGGGAAATGACCTCAGTGGATTGTCAGTATAGAATTGTCAGCGATCATCAAGGATGGCAACCATGTCGGAATGTGACGGTACTCAATATGGTTTTTCACTGCATTGCTGAAGACTTGTAAAACACTCCTAATTTAAATAAGATGTACAACTGCTGCAAGTGTCATCATGAAGGTGCTGACGGCTCATCAGGTTTGTTTGTTGTCTCTGCTGAAATTTTTTTTCTCTGTTTTACTTCTTCTCTATTTTTAAATTCTTGATCTATTCGTTCTTTTGCTCTCACAACCTGAAATATATTTTATATATGATTAAATTACGTTTACTACTAAATTTACAATGTTGGAAGTAGATCTCAAACTTTAGATAAAGAAAACTATGTAGTCATAAACTAGGACCACCACTGATTTATTTGACCTCAATTGTCACTGGAACCAGTTCAATCAAAAGATTTATAAAGTACATCATCATTTAGAACAGACTTTGGAATTGAATGAAAACTTTATTCCATTGTTTGAGTTTTAGCCAAATGCGAGTTGATGAATTGTTACTCTGATACGAAAACAGGGGTGAGAAATTTACTTAACATTAAGAAATCACCAGTGAAACATACAAAGATTATAGCCATATCAGAAGCCTGTTATAAAATGAGTGATGTTAACTCTATATTGGGTGCTGGTGATTCTATTGCCTAACGTATGATCAGTCTGTCCTCTAGGGCAATATGATGTGCCTTTGACGCACAATGATTTGCCGTGGCACTAGTTGTGCTAATTCACCCCAAAAATAAAATCATACATGTACATACATATAGTGATCTTGAAGAAAATCTTACTTTAGTTATGGAATTTGGTAAAATGAAATTCACATTTTGTCAAGACAAAATACAAGTAAAAACGAAAAGAATCAGGGCCATATTTTTTTTTAATTTAATTTTTTCTCTTGAAGACTGACCTCCCCAGCAGTCAACTAGCTGACTCGACGTAGACTCACGATCTCTACAGAATAAGTCCCATTAGAGGGCAGACTGTGTATGATAAACAAAAGTCACTAAAGATACCCATTCAAAATGACTGACCTTGGACTGTATGTAAAATGAACCTCCTTTTGACTTCTCATTCACAGTAAATAAATGATCGTAATTTTTCTGGACTTCTTCAGGATTCAAATTTGGTGAAACATGCAGTATTTGTTGTGCTTCCTGTAAACAAATAAAGTAAAACATCATGTGTTTAGCACTGACTGTGGAATACTTTATTTTCGCTGGAATTAATTTTCGCTGAAAAGGCTTTTTGGGCGTTTTGTATGGAATTTATTTTCACTGATTTTTGATGAGTTTAATGTGAAATATAGGAAAAAAAGTATATTCGCTGGATTTTATTTTCACGGAATCATCCCTCCAGCGAAAATAAATTCCAAGCGAAAATAAAGTATTCTACAGTATCCTATTGCAGCACCACAACTCTCCAAGGCTGACCTACATGTATGTCAAGAGACCCCTGGACAATGCGATGCCTAACAAACAAATAATGTTTTTTTTTTAATTTACACCTTCCCTTTCCCCCATGCTAATACAAATTTCCTTCATCGATATTCTGCCTTCATGTTCTCGTCAGGCTTTAAGAATGCATTAAAGCGGGAGAGTCATCACCTGCGCATGCATCAGATGACCATAGCGCGTCATTGTTTACAAACAAGTGCCTACCCATGAGCCTTTGGGTTTTTACCACGTATTATCGTCGCTTTGGACTCAATTCCCGTGCGTGCACAGGTGACAACCCCCTCGCTTTAACTCACACTTGTGCACAAAGCTTTTAGTAAAGTAAACATCCAAGTTGAACAGCGCCCTCTTAGATCAAAATGTAATTTATTTTGTTGGAAAATTCAATACCACCGACTATACACGCTCTGCAATTAGACTTACCTGTAATGACATTCCCATAACACTGTCTGTAGCAGCAGCTTTGCGTCCTTGCTGCCCGCCACCAGCCCTCTTAGCAGCAGTTTGACTGGCTAGTAGAGTAAAACAAGACAAAGTTAGTGCTGCCTGGCAACTGTATTACAAGTACATATAACACCATCAAAGAGTGATTCACATGCGTCTATTCAGTGTCACATTTTTGCATATTAGCATACCGTTTTAAAAAAAAGCATAAATAAAGCACACACAGACAATGCATTTATTGAATACTATGAAATACTTTAGCTGGAATTGATTTTCGCTGAAAAGACATTTTTGGTGCTTTGTATGGAATTTATTTTCACTGATTTTTGACAAGTTGAATGTAAAAATATACATATTCGCTAGATTTTATTTTCACTGAATCATTCCTTCAGCAAAAACAGCTAAAATTAATTCCAAGCAAAAATAAAGTATCACCCCCAAAACAACCTTTTGCCAGTCGCAAATTACAATTTATTTCATTTTTGTCACTAAAGCCGAACAATATGTTTATAAGCATTCTGGTGCCATATCAAAATATGGTTTAACTCTATGTGTGGGCGGGATATAACCGTGACATAGGTATGAATTACCTGCAAACTCCTGCCTAACTGCCTTGGTGAAGGCCCTTGCAACAACCTGACCACCAAGCACAATTATTTGTGCTAAATATTTTGCCTGAAAAATAAACCAAAATGTGATTACTCAGGAGGATGGGGTGTGTTACTGGTAACAGTGAAAACAAACATAGATTTATTGAGAACACATAAAATTCCCCTAGAAGATTACAGTCTGATTTTTTGTTTTGTTATATTTTTTTTTAATTTTTATTAAAGGATGTCAGGCGTCTAGTGTTTGAATTTCATGTGAACAATTTATTTGACACACTGTATACAATGTCATAAGACATATCGAAAATGACATGACGAAATGACCACCGACGTGTAATCATGCTATTATTATCAACAAGATGCTGCTGGACATGTTTTACAGGTTGAAGCATTTTGTAAATGAAAATTACAATACTGCTGTAAAATATTTAATATTTATATAATATTTTTTTCGCATCTAAGGAAGAAAAGGTCAGATAGCATAATTATCATTTACATGTATGTTCAAAACAGTGTCACAATTGTTTTTGTTCTATTTTTCAACCATGACTCACGGATGCAACACTCAAAATGACCTTGCGTGAAAATAAAATCCTTGTGGTAATATTTAGTATTTCACAGTATGTACACATTTATGTATATATCACTCTTGATGTATGCCCTTAATTTATCCACCTTTGATAAGTACACATGGCAGTGATTCGTGGACAAGCTAAAGTTAACATTCAATCTAAAGTTCTAGGTAAACTGTAACGAGAGATTGACGTGCGTACAAGGCTGTTTTGGGGGTGATATATATTTAGATTAGGACTAGACGGCAGCCCAACACTGCGTGGATTGGGTGCCGATAAGCACAGGCGCTCGAAACGTTTCTTGGCTATTAAATTCAGTTTGACCATAGCAGGCAGCAAGGGGCAGGGATTGTCAGAAAGAAACACACACACACACAAGTGTCTTGGATCCAATAGGGGGTAGAATTTATTTAACTACAACACTATAAGCTATAAAACCCAGCCCCTCCCATTGATATGCAAATGAGCAAATACAAATGCAAATGAGGTAGCTGACCTTGGGAGGGTACTGGCAAACTACAACTACAAACCATAAAACACTATGAAACTAAAGTCCCCAAAGACCCAAGACACTTGTAGGGTAGGAACCTAGGGGCGAACGGAAGGGAGGCCCGCAGCAAACCCCTGGATCGTCTGTAGACGGAGAGGGAGTGACGGGTGCAGATAACTACGAAAAGCATCACTTTTCCAGTCGCCTAACAGACGAATCAACTCAGCCGGGATACCACGGTCAAGGGCCCAAGAGGCCCCCCCACGGCGAAAACTGTGAGTAGAATAGAGGTCAGCATTCGGAACCAATGGCCGCAACAGCAATGACAAACGCTTCACAAACAAGGGGCATGGAACAGGACGTGGCCTAGGAGAGTTGCAGGGGAGGACAAACGCTGGGCCCGTGGATGGCGAGGGTGAAGCCCTGAAGGCGGCGACAATGGCTGATACCGGGCAGAGGGGGTGACCCTTAAGCACTGGGAGGGGTAAAAGCAATTGACGATCCTTGGTCTGTATCGTTTTGGACCACCGAATGACTACTGCTAGACCCCATGGGAAAACCAAGAAATCCCCCCGCTTGAGATGCCGGGAGCCATCAAACTGTGACATGGATGTGGGGAGCACGTTGGACTTCCGCAGGAGTCCAAAAAACAGTGTCAAACAAATGGCCCAAAAAACAATGTCAGCAGGACATGTCAACTCCAGTTGAGCACGGATGCCCAGAAGCAGGTCCGGGGTAATTGGTAACTTCCTCTGAACTGCTGTGCCTTTCACTCGGGCTATACCTCGCAAGATACAGGTAAGTGGGAAGTTACCAGGGATAGGGTTGGCCAACCCGCCTTCAACGTGGAGCAGGCGGACAATATTGAGATACTGACGGATGGAGCTATGGGAGAGACGCCGGGCTAGGTGGGCTGCATACCTCCCTAATACGACAGGTTCAACTGGGACTGGGGAATACCCATACTGATTGCAGAAGGATAGGTAGGCCTTGCGGTGGGTACGGTAGGTAGATTTGGTTGCCATTGCAAAAGTTTGTCCTCGGTAAAAGGCGACTTCCAAGTCCAGTTCATTTTCCAGTCGTGTGATGCCAGGATCTGGGAAGAAATCAAGCGATAAGCCCTGAGAGACATGTGATTTGGGAAAGTGGACACAAAGGCCTGGAAGTCAGACAGAGTTAGTCCAATATCACTAAAAAGAGTGTGGAGGCGTGTGGGCTGGCCCGATTGGTGCAACCTGGAGATGGCATCTGGGATATGGTTATCTTTACCTGGCACATGGCTTGCCTGTATGTGGAAATTGTGGGTGACAGACAGCCAAAACAGTTCTCGGAGTGCAGACATGACAAGTGCATTGCGGGATGTACCTTTGTTGATATTGGCCATGGCCACCTGACTGTCAGTGTAAATGTGAACCGTACAATCTTGCCACTTGTGTGCCCACCGGCGTGCTGCCAGCAGAACTGAGAGGGCTTCTTTATGGTTTATGTGGAGTGGGTGCGCTGATGGCCAGTCATGGGCCCATGCAGTATATTGCCAATCACCACAATAGTAAATACCAGATGCAAGGTTGGATGCATCTATATGTACATCGGTAATAGGGCGAGGGTCTATAAATTTGTGGGTACCATTGAAAACTGCCAGGTAGCGCAGCCACCAATCAATGTCAAGGGCAAATTCCTTAGATAAGATAACTCTGTGAGTAGGCTTGCGGAGGGAATGCAGTTGGTCAAGAATGCGGCGGAGGAAAGTTCTCCCTCCTTTGATGACTCTACATGCCCAAGCGAGTTTCCCAGCTAGGGATTCTAATTGGCGGCGGCTTGCACGTTTGCGTTTAGCGAATTCAAGCAGCATAATGCGAAATTCCTCCAGCTTTGGAGTCGGTAATTGTAAAGTTAAGTCAACTGTATTAATTTCAATGCCGAGAAAGGTAAGCTTTTGAGTGGGCCCTACAACC